TCCGTCCATCCATCCGTCCATCCATCCATCCATCCATCCATCCATCCATCATCCATCCATCCGTCCAAAACCTAACCCGCCAAACAAATTTACCAAAGACCTTTCTTTAAATGTATGTGGTCAGGCAAACCAGACAAAATTTAAACAAAGACCCATTTTGCGCTTCTGTGAACAATTTAGGTGGAAATTTTTCTAGCGATGTAATATGAAATCAAACGAAAAATGTATAATTAGCATAAGAAATGTACTTATAAGAAACGTTGTGTAGGCATGGTGTGATATTACTTTCGAAACGCCAATCAAAATGTTGTAGTAAACAAATTTTATGAAATAATTCGCAAATTAGCGTTGGGGAAAACCTGCCTTTAACCCTAGATTGTTTAAGAAGGGCGTCGGGGGCATCGGCCGCCCCTCCTTCCCGTCGGGCAAATCCTGGCGCCACCCCTGGTCTGCCGGAAATCCTGGCGGCCTTTCAAACTCCCGCAAGCAAGCAATCAAGAATCTCCCAGCAAATAACCCATCACCCGCAAATTCATAAAATAAATATTTATAATAATCGAGATAAATAGGAACACAAACATTGCCTTTAATGATACCTAAGGGCCTAGAAATACGGCATATGCTTTTTAGATTTATAACAAGCATTTCTTCCTTACTAAAATTAGATGATGACGATAATTATTCATGAAATAATTTAATAACTTCATATGCCTCTTATTGACAACTGAGAATATTAATTTTTTGTTATTAATGTCTATGATGTTTATTAATAGTGAATATAAAATCAAAATTATTGATATTCTATAAAGCATTTTGTGTAGGCTCTTCGGTAGAGAAAATTAAAATTATATTACTAATGTCCTTCATCCTCTCGTATCAACATTATTAATATAATACAATATAATATTTCAGTCGCTTTATACTCCTCAAAATTGGATATTAAAATTTCGTTAATAGTTTTCGGATTCGTTGATATCTAATAAAGAGAACGTATTAATGTAATAAGGTAAATTAAAAAGACTTGGTAATATAGTTTTACTTCATCTCTAAGTATCAGTCATTGATAGATTATCATAAAAAAAAGCTAATATATGGACGGTAAGAAATAAAGAAAAAAAACGGAAAGTAATAAAGTTACATATAATGATCTACTCGTTTTACAGAAAGTGGATATTAACAGTAATACACAATGATCTATACCTTAGAAAAACAATTTTTTTAACATAATGATTGGTTGTGTAATAACGGACCAACAGCTACTACAATTTCTTTTTATATCCTAATTGTTAAGGTAGGTCTCCTAGTCCTTTAGACGCACAGCTAGGCCTACTAGTTAGGCATTGGGAGATTCGCTGCATTTGACCTATTTTAAAAATACAGATTTGTATTGTTTTACGACATTCTATAGATAATATCCTCCCTGCAGCGGCCAAATAAATAATTACACCCCCACTGAGTGTGTGATATATTCAGTAAGATAAAGTTTTATTGTATTGTACAAATCTGCATCTGCCCCTGTTGTATAAAAACATATATAAAATTGTGATTATTTTAATTAATATTGATACATTATTTTCTATATCTATTGTATAATTTATAAAAGATATGATAACCTTAGAAAACATTGAAGTTACGGTGCACACCCACCTTTTTGTTAATAGTAATATAATGGAAATAAATTACTTTAGACGTTAATATAATATGGTGTAGTCATAACCATCGATATGCTCTGTCCCTAGATGTTTGCCTTGTGTAAATTTCGTTGGATGTATTTTTATTCAGCACATTTCTTTTCAAAATTCTGGATACGCCACTCTGGTTTTATATTTTGTATATTTAATTCATATTTATATTCCATTATTTTATTTTTCTCACACGAGATGGTAGGTAACAAGGGAAATCTTCCATGTACATGTGTCAGCTACCATAGTATTCATTTAAACTGTTACGCAAAAGCATTATTGAAAAGAATAATTACAATAATAGTAACAACAATAATATCATAATAAAAACAGTAAAGTAGTAATCTAGTAATGATAATAATAATAATAATAATAACAATAATAATAATAACGATGATAATAATAATAATAGGCCTAATAATAATAATAATAATCATAGTAATGATAACCAAGATGGTGATAATAATAAAATAACAATAATAAATAACAAACATCATTTCTTTTGAGTTGTGCTTGAGACCGCGTCGTTGCGACTGACGCTTCTAACAAGCCATGGCAATTTTTGGAGCCTGAAACAATGCACCGGTATCCGAAGCACAGGTGAGAAAGTGCGATAAACGGGGTGGTGTCAAAATTAAAGCATAATCGCAAAAAGTTTAAACCAAATCTTCCGTCTGTACTTATATGGGGAATACGCAATCTTTGAACAATAAACTTAACGAACTTAAGGCTTCTTACTAGACACCTTTCAAAATATAGTTAACTTAATGTCTAAGCTTAAAAACTGCCTTGTTGTCCAAGCAATTCCCGGTTGCTAGAACCTATAAACCGACAGCAAAGATAGGTAGGCCTACCTGTTTTTGTACAGCATTAGAATTTTGATGAATGATATAGGGTGGAGATAGCATTTATGCACACAACTTTTTATTATCTAAGTATATTTTCTTGTTTTTTGTATCAAATTGTAGAATAATACATGTCCATTATTTTGTATAAAGGACAATGTAATTACATCGTTAATTATGTCACAGGACATTTAAAGATTATCATCCAAAAATCAAAATTGAATTTCACTCAAAATATATTTTAAAACCCTTGATAGTTTATCACGTTAAAAAAATTAACATGAATAAAAATTAGCTGAAGTAAACAATATATTAAAATACATGTATAGATAAAATTAGAACGTCTTAGCTTCAGTGCAGAGTTACGGTATGGCTACGACAATATGTGGGCGTGTCCATATTATGGATTCACCGTTTGATCTTTATATGAATGGAAAAAGCTCTTAAGTAGCATTAAAATAGCAGTTATGATGCTGAAAATTGATGATGTAGCTTAGAAGTGTCTGCTAAATCCTCCTCCTTCAAGAAGTTACAGCGCAATATAGACGAGTAGACTCATTGCCGTATCTTTTACAAGGTAAGTGTCAGTCCTTTACACACATTTTTCAACATAACTTGCATGTATAAATGTAAGAGATCAGTGCTTCATTAATTAGGAGGCTAGCACCCATGAAAAAATACGGTTAAAACCCGCTCAAGCTTGCAGCGGTAGTAATAATGTTGCGTTCAATTGTAAAATAGAGTAGTGCCGGACGCCTTAATGAGTTTTTAGACTGTTAATTATAGATCAACATACAACGGGCATTTATTTATTTGAAGGTATACTTCCGTTCAGTGGCATGCCGATTCAAGAACAACAAATTATTGATCGTTTAATAAAGTGCATCTTATTATACCCTTTCGAATAATTAGTGGTAATATTTTTTTTCTTATTGAAACTAATCGCGAAGTTTACATACTAGAGGGTAAGCAAGCGAAGCGAGCTGCTGCTGCTGCTAGTAGTAGCAGCAGCAGTAGCAGTAGTAGTAGTAGTAGCAGTAGCAGTTTCAGTAGTAGTAGTAGTAGTAATAATAATAATAATAATAACAATAGAGAGTATAGAATAGTAGAGAGAATATCTCCATCCACCGCAAATTCCTTTTAAAATAAATCTTTTCTAATTTCCAACCACCACCCCATCCACTTCGGTTCGCGTATACTCTAAATAACACTTAGGTCTACACATTTCCACTACGCTGATCCACAACATAAGAAAAATCAACCTTGAAGCAAGTAGCATGTATTCCATTGCAATTTGGACGGATTCTGTGGGCGCTGGTTGTTATATTTGTGGGCATTATTACGTTTGCGGGCGATGGGTTGTGTCATTTGTGGGCGTTTTACCATACGTATCCTAACAACCAACTATTTTTTTCTATCCTACCTTTTCCCACTCTCATGCACCATGCTCTTTTATGCTTTGTCACACGCCACCTCACTCTATTTCCGTTGCCTCTGGATGTCAGACTTCCATGCTAGTTGGTTACTAAACACAGAACTCACTGAATGCTCAAAAACTTTCCAAGAAACAATACCTGGTACTACATTTCTATTTTAATAACAAATTTTAGCCACCTTGTCACAAAAATTATTCTCCCCGCCGTAGACGGGTAAATTTAACACTTGCACGACAAATTTTCATTATTCATTGGCATCTGAACCTGAATTTAAAAAGCTTAATACACTAGATATCTAAAAGCTTTAATGTATTTACAGTTGTAATATTAGTCAGGGCCAGTGGAACGTTTTTCAATGTGGGTGGGGTCCTCTCTTTCTTTTCTTGCATTTCTTTCCGTCCATACAAAAATCTGCATAGACATTATATATTTTCTGCCAAAAAGTGGGGCCCCCTGGTTCCGCCGGCCATGTTAGTTGTGGTAATAACAATAATAATGACTGTATAACGATAATGATAATAATAGTAATCATCAAAATATCAAAATCAAAGATCGTTGAAACTAGGTTATTTGGGCGCGCCTCTTGAGCAGGCCACACTGTGTAGTCGTGCGACATTCGACAAACCAACCAAACCAGACTCCGCTGTTTGTGACGACACAAGCTTCGTCGTCTGCTGACTATATTTCTAAACACCCTAGCAGCTTGTGAATATGTGGTAAACTGATAAATAACACAAACATTAATAATTACAATTACACCACATATTAAATATGAAAAAATTTATTTTTCTAGTCTTTATTTTCCCAAAGTTGGAAAATACTTTAATATTCAAAGAGGGAATTCAGT